GACCACATCCACAGATGTGGTTTACAGATGTCTTGCGTACCCTGAAAACAAAGATCCTTAGAAACACTGAAGATATTCGCCCCTGTGATCCTGTATGGAAGTTCAGTGATGCCGGCAAAGGAAATTGTAACGTTTGTCATGAAAATTCTCAACAAACGTGTAAAAATGCACAATAAAGATAAGAATATGAGATATAAAAGCACAAATAATGATATGGAAACAAACTACAGCTACAGTCTCACTCTACACTGCTGCTGATCAATAAAAGGTTTTGAAAAATCAACGTTATTAACTGAAGTGAAAAATATCACGGAAAAAATGGCCTAAAAATGAGAATTGTAAAATAAAATTTTAAAAAATTATATGTTTGTCTTTCTAAATCCAAATGTAAACAGAACATGAATATATTTTTTAAATTGTACATTCATTTTTTTATTTATCTTTTTCTTAACTTTCCTCCGTTTTAATTAAGCTCCTTTGACTTGACACATGTTCTTTGTTGGTTATGTTTTCAAAAATGTTGATTTTATACGTTTAAACTGCATTAGTGACCAATTTTTATCTTTTTCTTCTTTAATCAGTTTTTTAAAATTGACAATGATCCTTCATCGGTTTATCTTTCAGGTCCTGCTATGCAGACATGCTGCACGATCACGACAGGGTAAGACCTGGAGAAAAAGTCCCTCAGAACTCTCAGAAGTGCTTTTATTATTACTAATAATAAACCCAAATAGATGGATAACACATATAACAAGTGTCGTGTTTGACAGCAGAAACAAAACAACACCGCTAACATGTCTTCCACTGTAGAATAAGAAATACTATGAGGGCATCCGGGCTGCTGTAGCCAGAGTGAAGGCTCGCGGCGAGAGGGTCGTCGTGCTGGACATCGGCACCGGAACTGGCCTCCTGTCGATGATGGCCATCACGGCCGGGGCTGACTTCTGTTACGCCGTGGAGGTGAACATCACTGATCGCTCTCTTTCGGCATGGATTCATTTCCCCCTTGTTGTGTTTTAATATCAGTTAATAACTTTGTGATGCTTTCCTGCAGGTTTTTAAGCCGATGGCCGAGGCGGCGCAGTGCATCGTGGAGAAGAACGGCTTCTCCGACAAAATCAAGATTATTAACAAACACTCCACAGACGTCACTGTGGGACCAGGTCAGACACGGCAGTACTGCATCAGGCTGTGTTAATGAATCTCAACTTCACAGCTCACCCTAAATCAATTAAATCTTCTGTCCATATATTAACTTACTAACATCACTCTTTTCTCCCAAACTGTAACGATTCACTCCAAGCACAAAACCAAACAAGCAGAGGACATTTAAACAAACAGCATTCATTACTTACACAGCAGTACATCTGTTTTCATAACCAGAACCCTGTTTTCCAGATGGAGACATGCAGGTGAAGGCCAACGTCCTGATCACAGAGCTGTTCGATACCGAGCTGATCGGTGAAGGAGCTCTGCCCAGCTACGAGCACGCCCACCAAAACCTGATGCAGGTGTGTGCTGTCACACTTTTCCTGCATTCGTCAGCAGCTTCCTCACAGCTGAAGGTTCGGACTGTTTCCACTAGTTTTACTTTCCTTTTGCTGCCCTGCAGGAGCGCTGCGAGGCCGTCCCTCACCGGGCCACCGTCTACGCCCGGCTGGTAGAGTCGGAGCTTCTGTGGAGCTGGGCTCAGCTGCAGCCAGTTGAGGTGGAGGGGGCCAGGCTGGTCCCTCCGCCCGCAGTGGGCCG